GAAAGTACTAAGCTAAAATTTATAAAACCTAGAGCTATCTTTTGAACAGGGTGGTGTGGACAGGAGTCATTTATTTGAGTGTTCTTTCTAGGGCCCAAGTTCATCAACCTGCAGAGCTGAAATAATTAAATTTTCAAAAATACATGCTTTATTGCTCTCTTCCTATAAATGTTTACTAGTCAAATGAAATTAATACAAATGTTGGGCTTCTGTGTAAAGCTAACTGCCCTATACTTCAAACCCTCAGGTTCACACATATTTTCATGTAAAAGCAAATTATAACAGTCAGTGAAACTGTATATCCAAACATAATTTTATTTCTGTAACTTTTTCATGATAGAAATAAAGATAAACGTTGGATGAGAAAAAATTTCCCAAAACCAAAGTGTTCATATCAAGTTACACAAAACTGCTCTTAGTTATTACTACTGTACTTCGGACCGGAGCGTGTTTAGTGTCCTCTATTTAACACCCCCAGACCATGTACACTGGTGAAGAACTTGGGTTGTCCTGCTGTTCCCTTGCAGTAACTGATTCACATTTTAATAAATCCTGGATTCTGCTTACACACAGCTTACCTTCATCTACTGTGGTCATATCTTGTTCTAGTTTCAATTTCTGTTGATTAATTTTTAGCATGGATTCTTCAATTGTCCCTTGACTTATTAATTTTATAACTAGTACTTCTCTAAAACAAATACAAAAATGTCCATTGGTTACTAAAGTTATTTGATATATGTGAAGTGTACTAAAAAGTTTAAAAATAATTTGAACAGTTTGATAAACATCCTTAAAGTTGAATTCTTTCACATTTTTCTCAGCAGTTAAAATTTTTAGAGATCCTTTCCTATTGATCAAAGAGGAAAAACATATTTGTACTTTAAAAATTACAGGTAGGCCAGACATGGTGGCGCACATCTGCAGTCTCAGCACTTGGGAGATTGAGGCAGGAGGATTATCCAAGTTCAAGGCCAGCCTGGGCTACACAGTGAGTTCAAGGCCAGCCCGGAATACACAGCAAAAAACCCCAAAGTAAATAAGTAACTAAAATTTAAGGATGAAACTCTGTGTATAGAGGAATTACATAAAAAAAATGCTAGCCTCCTCACTGCACCATAACACCTGGCTCTTATAGTAATTAAACTATGTAGTTTTGGATTAAAAATAAATTTCAACTGAGCCAGGTGTGGTGGCATACATGCCTATACTTGGAAGGTTAAGGCAGGAGGATTACTGTGAGTTTGAGGCCAGCTTGGGCTACCCAGTGAATTCAAAGCCAACCTTAAATATACAGTGAGACCCTCAAGTAACAGAATTCAAAGTAAATTCCAACCTAAAATACTTACTTAGTCTGGCCTACTCTGTGGCATCTATCTTCTGCTTGTTTGTCATTGTAAGGATTACAATCAAAATCGTGAAGTATAACAACATTTGCTGAAGTTAGATTTATTCCTAATCCACCAGCTTTTGTTGACAACAGAAATACAAAAATATCCATGTCAGTATTAAATTCATCAATTAGGTGAATCCTGTAAGATAAATACATTAGGTTAAATGTCACTAAAAGATAAGTAATATAATTGAAATTGAAAACAATCAGCATGGAAGAGAGACCTGAAAACACAAATAAGTGCTCTTGGAATTGTTAACTTTGCCTGCAGCTGTATTACTGAAGAATCTTCCAACCTACCAACTCTTCATTATTCCTCTGACAATTAACTATTACTTTAATTCAACTATCACTCTCCTAATTATTATTTTAATCAGACCATTCAATCTGTTTAATTTTGTCTTATGATCAGTTTAATTCATCTAAATACTACATATGCAATCTTTAATCTCAGAAATCTGTCAGTTGCTACTGGTGGACAGTGTAGTCTGAAGAAGCAGTGACCACAAGATCAAATTGTATCAGTGACTTCTTTTTTAGCCAGATGTTTTATACTGACTCTAGTACAGGAAAAGGAAATGTCTCTGGGTGAGAAAAATAAATCAGGTATTAGTATCACTAGAAAAAGCATTCTTTAAAAAAGAAAAATCCATGGGCTGGGGGTATAGCTCAGGAACACAGCACCTGCCTGGCAAGTGCAAGATCTTGAGTTTGATACCAGTACAAAAAAAACAAAAATCTTTTAAAAATTAAAAACCAAATTAATCTTAAAATAAGAAGATGCTCTAAATCCTAAATGAGCTTTTAAATAGAAAAACTATCCAACTCTCAAGCTATTCCAAAGTTCACTTGTAAGCAATTCAGAAGAAAAATTAAAAAGAAAATGTATCTCATTTTACAACCATTGTTGAATTCCTACCATCTTGTTGAGTGAAGCTCTATATCATTTCTAATATTTTTTTAAATTATTTTTATTCTCTTTAATCAATCTTGCATTCTTACATCTGGTAATCTCAGCAACTTCGCTGAAGATAACAATATGTAATATAACAACAATTGTTAATTTCCTATCATCTTGTTTTGAAATTCTGTATTGATTTGTGTTTTGTTTTTATCTTTATTATTTTGTTACTTTTTTCTTTAAAATAAAAAAAAATGTATCTCATTTTAAGGCATGATTTTCAATATCTAAATGTAAGAGTGAAAGCAAAAAACTCTCAGCAGATGCTCTAGACATTTACAATTCTAATAAATGATACATGAGTGATGTTCTAAAACTAATGGGACACAGACCAACCTTTCGGAAATCTGAGTCTTCCCATCCAATCTAAGGTACCGATGCTGATGATGCTTTAGGAGAACCTCTAAAATATCCAACATCATGGTAAACTGGCTGAATAAAACAACTCTGTCACCCTGTGAAAACACACACATGAATTAGAAATGGGAGAATAAAACCACTGTACCACTGAGTCTTGACACATTTGAACAAGCAGGAATGACTGTGCAGAACATTTCCTATGTTAAAAGTTACCTAATAATCAATTGTTTAAACATAAATAAATATAAAAAATGATGCTTAAATTTCTTGTTTTAGTTTACATATGAATAACTTACCTTAAACCCTACATGCAAGAGCTCAGTTTTGATTTTAAGGACAATTTCCTTTTCATAACAGAAAATGCCATCCATGTGAGTAACTTTATAAATGTTTAGATGCAGATCTTACATATCTAATCTGTTTCACACAAAACTGCAGCATTACTTAAATAATGAGTGGCATCCTCAAATACTTATTTGGTTTTGTTTTGTTTTGTTTTTTTTTGGTTTTTCTCCGGTACCGGGAACTGAACTCATGACCTTGCGCTTGCCAGGCAGGCGCTTTTGCCGCTGAGCTAAATCCCCAGC